TTGATGATCTTGATTTATTTTTTGAATTAAAAGTGTTAAGGGAAACAATACAAGTAGAAGATAATGATCTAATGAAAATCTCCATTCTAATAAAAAGACTTGATTCTTTTCCAAATACACATATTGCTTATAGAACAATGTTAACAATTCTTGTAACCATTGCCTCAGTCGAAAGAAGTTTTTTTGAAATAAAAAATTGATTAAATCTTCTTTAAGATCAACAATATAATGTCTCAAGAGAGATTGAATGAATTAGCTATATTATCATTTGAAAAGGAATTATTAAAACAAATTGATTATAAGATAGTACATAATGACTTCGCATCTAAAATAGCTAGAAAAGTAGATTTTAAATAAAAGTATATATGATGAAAAAATTAAATATTAGGGCCCCCCTCTTAAGTTTCGCTTGAGGCCCCCAATGTTGTTGAGTTGGCCCTGATGGGAGATAATCAACTTTTATCTCTTCAACCAGTGCTGGATCTACTGCGGCAAGGAGGGGGATTTAACCGATCAGGATTCTGGTGAAATGATAAGTATTTCTTTATATTTTATAAAAAAAGAAAATCGAATCTCCTTGAGTACAAAGCTCTTTTTGTTAGGGAGCATTTTACTATGGGAATTCCTAGCACAAATTCAAATTTAATCGGATTTCAATATGAGTATAAAAAATCGAGTGGAAAACAAAAAAGAAAAAGTAGAGAGATTTTCTGCTTGGAGATGAAATGGATGATATTTGATTTGATTTTATATATATAAAAAATAAATCAAAGAAAAAATTAAATCAAATTGATAAATCATATTAAATTTTTTATGGTAATTATATATAGATAACATTAGTGCTTCTTATAAATAAAATTTATATACTTTTTCATGAAATTCTTTTTTATCTCTATTAGGCTAATGAATTTTATATCTTAAACTCGTTTCTTAATAAAGAGTAGGACTCTAAAGTCTAAACTTATTTATTTTTTTAAAAAACGACTATAAAATTTATCTCCTTTTAAAAAAAAGAAATCGTATTTATTTACTTGAGTAAGGCTTATAAATCTTTAAGATATTTTCTCCGCCGTTTAAGAAAATTATAGCCGTCAATCGTCATATTAAAAGGTTACTATTTTCTTCTTTCTTCTTTTTTTGATTTCTTTGCATATTTTCCTTTTTTTTTTCCCTACCTCTCTTCCTTTTCTGCACTTTATTTTTTGAAAAACATAGTTTGTCAATTATAAATAATCCTAGTTGCAAAACATGTCTTCATATTTATTTCTTCATAACGTAACACACACAAAAGCACTTCTAAAATAATTGGCCGAACACAATATATTTGTCAAATACTAAAAGCATAATTGGTTAAACACAGATTCCTTTCTTGAAAATTATTTTAATAAAATACTCTTAAAATAAGTTTGTGTGGGAGCCTTGAACGTACTACATTTTCTAGAACCAGAACACATGCAAGAAAATATTGCACTAACCACAGAGAGAAGACATCCAAATTTTACGAGAATATATTTTCCATATTTGAGGAGAAGAGCAAGACGATCTCTCCAGTCTGAACTTTTGTTTATTTAAATCACCATTTTGAGTTATTATACTTTAGAAATCTAAGTTTAGTTATTAGAAAACGTCATCCCTTGCCCACTACTAATTAGAATTGGAGAAAATACTTTATTCAGAATTTTCAGGGGTAAAAGTAAAAATCTCTTCTTAAAGATAATAAAATAGAACTAAAACCAAAAATGTAAAGAGCTAAGAGAACACTTTCCACCAGAAGAATTGAAGTGACATTATTAATAAGATAAATATACAAGAACTCAACTACGTAGTTTAGAGGCACGCTGGTCAAATTCAATCAAATGTATATAATCTAACTTACCCAGACTCATAAGAAATGTTTGCCACATTCATGTCAAATCATCCAAAGCTGCACTATTTTGAAGAATTCAGCATACACTAGTAATATTTTTAAAGAATCCAAACAACATAACATAAGCAAAGGAAAAGTTATAAAATCCTAGTCAATAAATGACATATGTAAGCATTTCCTCTCATTTTACTTTATATACCAAACTCATTTTGACAACAACGAAGAAATAAATTTGGCAACATTTGAAGAGAGAATAATATTCTAACGATTCACTGATGATGATCTAATAGTACTTGAACATGCAAAATATGTTGGAGTAACCTGAGCAAAATTGAAAAGAGTCTACAAAAAGGTCCAATAAAAACATAAATGATATGGCATGTAACTGGAGCAACAAAACGCTTCTCATGCTTTGTCTACAATTACTAACAGATCATTTCTTCTTGGCATCTCCGGCCTTTGTCTGCAAGTATCATCGAATAATATCATTAGCACGAGAAGAATGAAACTATGAACAGAAAAAACAACAGCACAGTAATTATCTCATGTTCATAGGAGCAAGGATAGAAATGGAGACAACAATATTTACCTTCTTAACACCACGGACTTTCTTGGCTCTGTTCTTCCTCTCCTTCATTTGCTTTCTGGACTTCTCCACCTTAGTGTCCAATCCATTCTGTGGAAGTTGAGAAATATATTTATTAGGGAGGAAATATAAGTTGTACCTAGCATAGCAGTCCTTGATTTTCCTATAACTGATATTATGACATAGAAGGATAATATTTATCATCGGGGGAGAATTTGAGGTGTGAAATATTAATCATTGACATTATTAACAAAACCAATTCAATCACTTGTAGACTGCTCTCATCTGCAAGATAGTACTCAGAACACATATTGGCTTATAAATGCAGAAAACAGTTCAACTCGATGCACATTTTTTTGGGGGGAGCGAGCTCAGCATACATTTCCAATAAGGTAACAGTCTCAAATGCATATCAGAATTAAGGGAAAACACAGAAGGCATAGGGTTAGAGGAAAGACATTTAGGTGCTTCAAAACATATGATAGTGAGTGGTCCAAGAGCTTTTATATATAGAGTATTATTGCTCAAGCAAATGCAATCCTGCAGTTAACAATTGGTTTTGGACAGCAGATGAGCAGAAGTAACAGTGATACCATCCAATAAACTTCTGAAAAGGTAGAAAGTATTGCAGATGACCATTTTTCAATAAAGATTCTATAACAGTATCTAACTGGATTAGCACAGAGGCAGATAGATACAAGATGAGATTCTCCGAGAAAAATATTAAGAATCGAATGGACACACATGTAATGAACAATCACTACTATATTCTCTCTATATCTCCAGTTCCAGCACCACAAGTTCTCTGTGAACAATCAGACCCCGCACAATCCACCAAACTAGATTATAGAAAAGGTATACTGAACGCATCTTTAAAGTCTATGGAAAACAAAGGTGGTTACCTTTTGGGTATTTTGAAGCATTAGATATAATTTATGATTTTCTTTAAGTTTAGAGCTTCTATTCATTCAGATATAACACTGCCAAAGTATAATTAAGAAAATAAAAATAAAAACCAATGCTGCAGTGTGACAGTTATATCAAAAAGGCCTTGCTGGTTTGTTTCAAACTACACAATGAACCAAAAGATATAAGCTGCAGCACTAGAAATTAACAGATTCTAGATTTTATATTACTTTTGATAAGGTAACATAAAAAGATTCTTGAATTAAGGAAACAACTTGAACAATTGCAGGTCTTTGTAGCACATAAGCATATGCACATGCGTAGAAATAAGATGATGTCTTACCCTGATCAGCCTGTACTTTGGCTCATACTTCTTGGCATTCTCAACAGAGTCATAGATCAAACCAAAGCCAGTAGATTTGCCTCCTCCAAAGTGGGTTCTGAACTTGAACACAAAGATGGCATTTGGGTCTTTCACTTCATACATCCTTGACAACTTTTCTTTCAACTCAGCCTAAAATATCAGTTTAAACAGGTCAGCAATGAAAAGCTACAGAATCACATCTACCTATATAAAGGATAAGGGAACAAACTGAGCATGACTGTGAAGATACAAGGCATCATGCCCTGAGAATGGAATTACGCGATAACCAAAAAGTGATAGCAACTGATATATATGAGAACTTTTCTTCTAACATTTCCAAAGAGACCATCTAGGATTCAGCACAAAATCATAAATAAGCTTCCATGAGAGATACTCAACTAGGTCCTTTCACTTGGCAAGAAGTTGACACACCTACTATCAATCAATCAACTCTGCCTCAATACTAAACTAGCTGAGGTTAGCTATAGAAATATATACATTCATTTTGCTAAATTACAGCACAACGCCCATCTTGTTAGCTAAAGAGTTATTGGCACTCTCACTCCCCTAACAACACCCAAAACTGAAAATCTTCAAAGGATAAACACAAACAAGCAAATAACGAAAGCTATTAGAGAAAAAAAAAACTAACCTTGGAAACATTAGCTCTTCCAGGATGCAATACATCAATAATCTGAAAAAAACGTAAGGCATATCAAAAGGGGATAACAAAGAACAGTTTTTTAGATTTCAATAACAAATCAACAATTTAAGAACTCACGAATTGTTTCCTTGCAAGCAACCTATTGGTCATGAACTTCCTAGTTCTAATAGTCACTGCCTTGTCCGCCATTGTTGTCCTATAAGCAAACAAAAAGAACTTTCAATACAATCCACCACACAAACATTCACAAACAAAAGTACAGAAAAATGTACAGTGATGAAAATAATACTTTTCTCACTCTGGTTTTGCTACTCCGGCGACTCTCCGTCTCTCTCTCCCACTGTGCGGCGCCTCCGTTCTGAGTTCTGTTTTCGATCTTGCTTGCTATACCTTAGGGTTTTAAAAAGGCTTCCCTAATTCCTGCATTTAACTTGGGCCGTGGGCTTGGACCTGGGGTAAGTGCAAAGATAGCCAATTCAGAAATCCTATTTAAACTATGGCCTAGTTAATTTTTCTTTAGGCAAAATGACACAAATCCCCCCCTTAAGTTTACTTATTACTATTTTCCCTTAATAGTTTTATTAATCCCCAAAATCCCTCTTTTTCTCTTTTAAGTCAAAAAATCTCACGGATACAATATTGGGCCTTTCCTACGCTAAAAATCAGAGTTCATTCTTTTCTTATTTCTCTCCTAAAACTTCTCCACATTTTCTTTGACAGTTGATTTCTCCAATATTCTTCAAAATCAAGTATCTCTCTGTGTATACTCTAGGTAAATTTGGTACTTTTCTTGTAATCCTCTTTTGTTTCTTCTTATACTGTTGAAATACTCTTTTGTTTGTTCTTCTAACTGTTGAATCAGATGGATGATGCTAACACTAATCGGATATATGACTATGAAGATATTGATTGGGCGGAGAACAGATCCAAAAGCCTACACGACCCATTGTTAATGGCGAATGTAAAAGATGGAAAGAGAAAAACGATTTTGCTTCATCTTCAAAAAACCGTTCCTAAAACCCCCAAAAAAATGGGTCGAAAATTTGCTCCTCCAATTTCTCGACCTCCATTACCTGATGTTAGATTTTAGTTCTTCTTCTTTCGAATGTTGTAATTTTTTTT